TAAAGTTTATAAATAAAAAAAAATATTGTATCTAAGGATAAAAATGTTATCGGAATAAAAAATACCTTTGTTTTTTAAAATATTTTGCAGGATGCAGAGTCTCTCTATTTCCTACGACACGCTTGACCAATTTTTCCTGTTGAAAAATTTCGCAGGCGTACCTGGCTTCGATTTCCTGAGAATGACCGAAAACGTCGTGGACGTTCTAGTGACAGCAGAAAATCTGGATATGTTTAAAGAACTTCTGAATGATTATGGCATGAATTACACGGTCACGATTAATGACGTCCAAGAAGAAGTCATTGAAGAACGTATCACGCAAGAAGTTGAGCGTAGATTGCAAGCAAGACTGCAGGAAGAGTATGCTTCTTCAGGAAAATTGTCTTTTACCTTCTATCCTAATAACAACGAAGTGAGTACATCAAAAGACACTTATCTTGCATTTCGTAATAATCGATAAAATTGACGTTTCATCATTATACTTCCTAAAAGAATGAATCAACTTTCTGCTTATAATATTTCGTTATTAAATTCTATTATTATGAAATCATAATTGTTTATTAACTCTTTCACGTTGGCGTTCTTAAATTAAAAAATTTTTCGGTTTTACGTTTCTCTTATTAAATTAAATTAAGGTGAAAGTGTGCCAAAAGTCGCCAAAGAGCGCAGCGTGACCAAATTTTCAAAACAAACTGAAAGGGTTAAATAATAATTTTAAAAATATAAAAGAGAGATTAATATTAACTGTTATATTACGAATTCATTTTTCCATATTTCAGTATATCGAATACTAAGCATGTACTTAACGAATATCGAAACTCAATTGTCTCAACAAGTTCCATAGGCACAAATCCTGATCTATATTTTCAACTTAATTTCGCACGAGAAATCGTCGATACTTTAACTATAATTACGACACTTACAAAAATGCTATTTAAATTTCTCACAGGTGGACGACTATCTCAACTACATAACGAGAACTCATGGTGACATAGCCTCGCTAATTACCATAGGTAATTCCTATGAAGGCCGATCGATGAAAGTTCTAAAGCTGTCGAACGGTGGCCGAAATAAGCCAGCTATTTTCATAGATGCCGGAATTCATGCTAGGGAATGGATCGCTCCGGTGACAGCTCTTTATATAATAGATCAGATCGTGGCTAACCACAAAGTCCTCTTGACAAACGTTGACTGGTACATCCTGCCTGTTTTGAACCCGGATGGTTATGCATTCACGCACGGCTCATCCTCGGTAATTTCAATTCGAAAATCTCATCCTCTCACCCTGACGAAGAATCTGAGAAAAATTCAAATTACGTACTATTTCTTTTTTTTACGCGTATCTTAGAATCGTTTATGGAGAAAAACGAGGTCAAGTCGAGGATCGAGCTGCCGTGGCGTCGATGGAAATCGAAATTACGACATGGAATGGATGGGTAAGTTCCTCTTTTTTTTTGTTTGCACTTTTTGATCTTACAAATCGATCCATTAAAAATGTCAATGTTTTCTTATCGACGTACGGTGTCTATTAAAGAGACAAATTAATGTTTCGACGATAAGGATTAGAGTAAAACCGGAAGATAATTCATCGTCGATATCTGTAAGAAGACTAAATAGTATTTGTACCGGCAATGAAATCAGTCACAATCTAAATTCGACGACGACGATGGATAGCGTTGTTATAATTTTCTATGAACGTGACTCGTTATGTACCGCGTTTTCTATCAAATATTGGAACAATGGTATCTCGTTGAAACGGTCTGCTACGGGGGAAATTTCTATTGCAAATAATTTCGCGGGAGTGAAGAGCGCGTTGTTAGCTAACACGTTCCCAATTTCGTATCGCAGGAAGCGGCACTGTGTTATACGGTTAACTCACAACTATTGCACTCTCAAACTTTTCTTTGGAGAGCAATTGTGCGGCGTTTTCATTGAAGTTATGATTGAGCGCGATAAAAACTTGCTCGTTACCGGACGGTTGTTACTTGCCTCGGTCTCCCTCCTCTCTCTCTCTCTCACTCTTTATCCGACACGCTGACTTTCGAGAAGTCTGCGTTATTCTAGGGCGTATGTCCACGCGGATTTCGCTGTCGCGCTATCAACGTCGGAACGATAATTTCGAGACGCCGATCTTGACTTGCAATTGGAAAATGACGTACATTAATATACACCGATGATTAAAGCTGAACTGATCTTTTTATAGGAGATAAAAATAACTTTTACCAGTGATCAAAATTTTAATTAATTTGAAACTTTATTTTTGGCTAAATTGGAAATTTTATTCTTGGCTAATTTGGAAATCTGCGAAATTCGATCGACGGTTAATTTAGAATTGTCATTTGTAGTTTCATTTGAAATGTGTCCTTTCTGTCGAAGGAGGTGCATCTACTAGATCGACAATTTTCGTATTGCAAGAAATCCTAAAGGAAAAATTTTAGCACGCCCAGAATTAATATGTATTTCAAATTATTTTTCAAGCATCAGAAAATGCTCCGTTTAATTAATTTCATAATGCAAGAAATAAAAGTCAGTCTGTCTCGTTAACTTAAGGAACCTCCAGGATCGGGAAATTATTTCGAGAGCCGTTTCAACTCTAATTTTTCTCATGTACTGAATTTCAAGCAAATAAGTTGGTGAAATGCGACGAACAGAGGCCACCACGGCGGAGTTGCGAGTCTCTAAATTGAGATACCTCTAATTCGTCCTGCCATTTGAAAGTTCCCTGCCACGGAAAATTCGTGGCAGCACTTTCTCGTATTAAACTTGTCGCGGGGAAATTTCGAGGCGTTTTAAAAATTTTCATTACATTACGCGTAACCTGCTATTCGCTTGGAAGATTGGTCATTCTCCTACAATTTTTACTCATTCCTTTCTCGTATTTTTGTTGCAACGAAAAAAACCGAAAAAAAAAAACAGACAAAGTTTACGAGAAATTATTCGTACTACTCGTACTAATTAAAAAAAATGTGTATTTTGTTCGCAGCAATTGGCGCGTCGAACAATCCATGCAGCGATACTTACGCCGGCCCTAAAGCATTCTCCGAGCCGGAAACGCAGCACATGAGAGATTTTATTTTAGCACGAAAAGGACAAATTAAGGCCTACATTTCGTTCCACTCTTACGGCCAGGTGATTATTCAAACTTTTATACGGATATTTAAAAAAAATGGAAGAACGCTGAAAAATGCTAATTTAATTATCCGAAAGTTCCGAACAAATTTGGAAACTTTAAAGCAAACTCTGGTTTCCTGGTCACGTTTTCCTCTGCCATAAGCTCTTACAAAGTACTGCCGAAAATTACTTCTCAACATAGAGAATAGCGGAACATCTGAAATTCTATTTCCTTTCGTGAACTCGATATCTAAAGTGCTCAAACTTTTTGTGCAATTAATATGTTACTTATCGGTGAGTTAATTAAATATTACTCTTTCAGTACATTTTATATCCATGGGGCTTCACATCCAAAGTGCCTGCCAACGAACCAGAACTGGTTAGTAAATGTTTCTTACAAATAATTTCTTTATACCGAGCCTCGATGTTATTTCCGTTTGGTTTTTTAGCGTAATCTTGCCAGCGATTGCGCAAAAGCAATCGCTAAATCTCGTCAAACGAAGTACACTTATGGAACCTCGGCTAACCATCTCTGTGAGTTTCTAACATATTTCAGAAATGACCGTTTCATTGAAATCTGAAAATACTAATCTTACGTTAATCTTTGAAATAACCAGATCCAGCTGCAGGAGGCAGCGATGATTGGGCAATGGCCAAAGCAGACGTGAGTTTGTCATACACTTACGAATTACCAGGTGGAAAATCGGGATTCCTATTACCACCGTCAGAGATCAAAGCTGTTGGCGCCGAGACATTCGAGGCTATCAAAGTGATTCATCAATACGTTACGTCGCACTATTAAACGTGTAATCACGTGGATCATCGAGCTTCTCCTGTACAAAGATTCCCCAATTCCATTGTTCTCTCTTGTACAAAGATTCGCCATTCGACTGATTCGTACAGTGAGAAACCATATACGAATTAGCGACTGAAATAAATTTCTTGGAACGACGATAAACTCTATTTTGTGATAAAACAAAATTCTCTTTCATGAAACACGTCCTTCCTACTAAGCTGATTCAAAAGTTCGCGAACTCTTTTGAAATTCAGATTCGACTAACAGAGACAACTTTTAAACGAACTTGCAGGAGTTCAGAAATTTTCACGGATCTACAAGATGTATCAAGCCAAAAGTCGAGATAAGTAAATAAATTATCGTATTCCAAGTCAACTCGTCTTACACAATTAACAGCTTGAAGATAAAGTACGCAAAAAATTCAATTGAAAATTCAACGCAACAGTTGACTCTAATTTCCAAAGCACAAATTACCCTCGGTAATTTCCACGTTACAAAGCTCGCCTCGAAGAAAACGTGTCAGCGTTGCAATTGGCTGTGCAACTCTAAACAAGGATCCGCAAACGGTGATTAAATCCACGGTGCCACAAGAGGTTAATCAATACTAAACCGAGCTGAGACCGCCAGATTCTCGGCAAACGCGATGAATAATTAAACGTGAAAAGCGGTTGTACAAGAAAGGAACGTGCATCTAACTTACTCCGCCCGTCATAATAATTGCTCGTTTAGGTCTCCCGCTGGAGTTTCTCTCGTTGACCCACGATAACAACGCGGCTGTTCTCTAATAGTTTGCACAGCCAGGAAGAAAAATTCAAAAAAAAAATAGCCAAGCTCAAAGGAGCACATACACCAGTGGTGGAACGTTTACGTTTGACGAAAACGTCGGTTTTGGAGAAGGTCCTCCCGCCGCTACGAAAAAAACACAACAGCCAGGCGTGCTCTACACTCGCGAACGCTCTTCATCCGTGAAATAACGGGACAGGTATTGTTCGGTGGTCGTGCAGCAAGCAAGCAAGCAAACCCTTCTGTGTCGCGACCACTTTTAGTTTTTCCCGCGTTTTTAGGTGGCCACTGCGCGAAAGCGAGAGTGCCTACCTACCCCACGACGACAAGTAGGGAGAAAACGGAAAAGAGAAGAGAGGCCTGTGGAGGATTTGGTCGGGCTGAAGTGGAACACTTAGCACGTAGAGACCCACCCGGGCAGAGTATCGTGCCCAAGCTCCTTTTCGCTTATTCCCGCCCCCCTTCTCGTCACTCGCGTTCGGTCTAATTGGAGAAACAACAGACTCATTACCTGCCGACTCGAGCACAGACGAGAGCTCATTTTGCCTTGCTGAGGGCACTGGGTCGTGAAATTTTTCTATAACGAGCCACTCGCGTCACTTCTAACCGAGCCGGGCAACATTCCTTCGAATCGTTCACCGAGGTGACAATGCTGAGGAACGCCTTTGGCGATACGAGAAAATGCTGGTTTTAGCCCGCCAGCTTAGACGAACGTGGACAGCTTTTCTTGCGGAAATGTTCTGTGCTTCTTACCTGGTACGCGTTCAAATTTTCTTCCGTCGAGGAAGATTCTTCGTTTCGTGAGTTAGGATTGAATCACAGGTATGTGGTTAAACGTAGAGTAATTTTATTTCGATCATAGAGTTGGTAGGGTTTGGTAACGAATGGAAAAGGTTGGATAAATTTCTTCTGTAAAATAATGTAGGCTTGTAGATAACTCTGGAGAACTCGAAGATTTCTCGATAAGAAAGATTGAGCGTACGCAGCGAAACTGAAAAAAAAAAATGTGTTTCGATAATCTCGAGTAGTTTTATTTCATCCTTGAAATCCATACAGAAAGACTCAAAAATCATTGTTTCAATTAATCACCGAGCCCATTAAAAGACTTAACGTATTTTATTCAGATGATAATGATCCATAAAACATTGTTCATATATAAATGTATCCACTTTTGTTTTTCCTCTTGTGAAGAAAGAACGCAGGAAGAAAAACGGCCGAGGTGATTTCTCCCTCGATCGACGTTACGATTTTTTTTCTCTTTTCACCACGATCTTCGTTAGATTCATCAAGCTTCTGATGACTTTTCTTCTTTTCTCTCCTCTCTCTCCTTGTATATGTATGTATATACTCGGTGAATACGGATAAACTATATAGATCACTCTTTAGTAAATGATTAAGGTAGCTTAGTCTACACATCGCTAAGGGTACGGTAACGCATTTTCTCGTCGAGTAACAAGAATTTCTATTTTGTTATCTTCTTATCACACGATCGGTGCTTCTTTTTTTGTGGTACTAATGCGGAACATTTGCGACGCGACGCGAGTAAAACTTGTCGAACCACGCGTTCCTCGGTCTCTCGTGCTAATCATTGTGGAATAATTGCCGGGAGAACTTGCGGAGGTTGTGGACTCGACGAACAGTTAAGTTGAGTAAAAATTCGAGATTAAAAATTTCTTCATCTTTCGTCGTGTCCGCTTTAAGAAAATCACAAAACAACGATAAACGAAAAATCGGCACGTTCTTCCGAGTCTCGATAAACTCTTCGAAACGATCGATTTTCGAGTATCTTCTTTTCATGTTAATCTCGTGTAAAAAGCGTTCTTCTTTTTTCATTTGAAACATTATCAGTGACACGCGTAAATGAATTAAAAACCACGGTATTTCATGTCGATTTATAATCTTCGAGAGACCGACATATCTTGTAG